CTATAAGCTTGGCAAACCTGTATTTGGGGAGTTTCTCACTTTTGTCTCTGCAGATCCTCTCAAGCTCTGTCAGGTTGGATGGGGAGCGTTGCTGCACAGCTATTTTCAGGTCTCTCCATAGATGTTCGATTGGGTTCAAGTCCAGGCTCTGGCTGGGCCACTCAAGCACATTCAGAAACTTGTCCCGAAGCCACTCCTGCGTTGTCTTGGCTGTGTGCTTAGGGACGATGTCCTGCGCTCTGTAGCAGGTTTTCATCAAGGATCTCTTTTCCTATTTGCTACGTTCATCTTTCTCTCGATCCTGACTAATCTCCCAGTCCGTGCCGCTGAAAAACATCCACACAGCATGCCACCACCATGCTGCCACCACCATGCTTCACCTTAGGGATGGTGCCAGGTTTCTTCCAGATGTGACACTTGGCATTCATCAGACCAGATAATCTTATTTGTCATGGTCAGAGTCCTTTAGGTGCCTTTTGGCAAACTAACAAGCTGGCTGTCATGTGCCTTTTACTGAGGAATGGCTTCCATCTGGCCACTCTACCATAAAGGCCTGATTGGTGGAGTGCTGCAGAGATGGTTGTCCTTCTGGAAGGTTCTCCCATCTCCACAGAGGAACTCTGGAGCTCTGTCAGAGTTACCATCAGGTTCTTGGTCACCTCCCTGACCAAGGCCCTTCTCCCCTGATTGCTCAGTTTGGCCGGGCGGCCAGCTCTAGGAAGAGTCTTGGTGGTTCCCAACTTCTTCCATTTAAGAATGATGGAGGCTACTGTGTTCTTGGGGACCTTCAATGCTGCAGAAATTTTTTGGTACCCTTCCCCAGATTTGTGCCTCTACACAATCCTGTCTCCGAGCTCTACGGACAATTCCTTCGACCTCATGGCTTTGTTTTTGCTCTGACATGCACTGTCAACTCTGGGAACTTACATTGACAGGTCTGCCTTTCCAAATCATGTCCAATCAATTGAATTTACCACAGGTAGAATCCAATCAAGTTGTAGAAACATCTCAAGGATGATCAATGGAAACAGGATGCACCTGAGCTCAATTTCGAGTCTCATAGCAAAGGGTCTAAATACTTATTATTATTATTTTTTTTTTAATACATTTGCAAAAATGTCGACAAACCTGGTTTCACTTTGTCATTATGGGGTATTGTGTGTAGATTGATGATTTCTTTAAAAAACGATTCCATTTTAGAATAAGGCTGAGGAAAAAGTCAAGGGGTCTGAATACTTTCCGAATGCACTGTACATACGCTACACCTCTTCACATTTTTGGATTCGGCAATTTCAGCCATACCCGTTGCTGACAGGTGTATAAAATCGAGAACACAGCTATGCAATCTCCATAGACAAACATTGGCAGTAGAATGGCATGTACTGAAGAGCTCAGTGACTTTCAATGTGGCACCATCATAGGATGCCACCTTTCGAACTAGTCAGTTCGTCAAATTTCTGCTCTGCTAGAGAAGCCCCGGTCAACTGTAAGTGCTGTTATTGTGAAGTGGAAACGTCTACGAGCAACAACGACTCAGCCGTGAAGTGGTAGCCAACACAAGCTCACAGAACGGGACCGCCAAGTGCTGAAGCGCGTAGCGCATAAAAATTGTCTGTCCTTTGTTGCAACACTCACTACCGAGTTCCAAACTGCCTCTGGAAGCAACGTCTGCAAAATAACTGTTCGTCGGGAGCTTCATGAAATGGGTTTCTATGGCCGAGCAGCTGCACACAAGCCTAAGATCACCATGCGCAATGCCAAGGGGCAGTTGGAGTGGTGTTAAGCTCACCGCCATTGGTCTCTGGAGCAGTGGAAACGCGTTCTCTGGAGTGATGAATCACGCTTCACCATCTGGCAGTCCGACGAACGATTCTGGGTTTGGCGGATGCCAGGAGAACGATATCTTACCCAATGCATAGTGCCAACTGTGAAGTTTGGTGAAGGAGGAATAATGGTCTGGAGCTGTTTTTTATGGTTCGGGCTAGGCCCCTTAGTTCCAGTGAAGGGAAATCTTAACGCTAAAGCATACAATGACATTCTAGACGATTCTGTGCTTCCAACTTTGTAGCAACAGTTTGAGAAGGCCCTTTCCTGTTTCAGCATGACAATGCCCCTGTGCACAAAGTGAGGTCCATACAGAAATGGTTTGTCGAGATCGGTGTGGAAGAACTTAACTGGCCTGAATGGAGCCCTGACCTCAACCCCATCAAACACCTTTAGGATGAATTGGAACGCCCACTGCGAGCCAGGCCTAATCGCCCAACATCAGTTCCCGACCTCACTAATGCTCTTGTGGCTGAATGGAAGCAAGTCCCCGCAGCAATATTCCAACATCTAGTGGAAAGCCTTCCCAGAAGAGTGGAGGCTGTTATAGCAGCAAAGGGGGGACCAACTCAAAAAATGCCCATGATTTTGTAATGAGATGTTCGACAAGCAGGTGTCCACATACCATATAGTGTACTTCTGATTGAAATCATTATCTGTCTGAATGACTGGTGGGAGGCGAATTCCTGTGTGGCTCAGTTGGTAAAGTATGGCGCTTGCAACGCCAGGGTCGTGGGTTCGTTTCCTGCTGGGGCCACATAGGAAGATGTATGTTCGCACTACAGTAAGTTGCATTGGATAAATGTGTCTGCTAAAAGGCATATACTGTATATTATTATACTGTATGTATATTATATTATTTTTCCAGACGGTTTCGAATCCAGTACCTTGCATTTAGACAGTTATGTATATTACTAGTATATACTGTATATAGTCATAATTTTCTGAACCGCATTAACATTTCTGAGTGGCAGGTGATGGGAATTTTCAAAGTTCTGGGGATAACTATTATTGTATAGCGAAGCTTCAAGTGGAGACATAAGATATATCGAGAGACGTGACCTTTAAGAGATACAGTAAGACAGAGGTTGAAGTCAACATTCAATAAAGTCTACACCTTGTCAGCTACTGTATATCTAGCATTCATGTCTAACATTCAGCGTAGTTCACCCTTTCGACTCCCAAGACAACCAGTAACCCACAAACACTGTTACGTGGGATGCAAAGAGAGTTGGAGGAGGAGGGTGAGCAGTGCTTTAGGACATTCTGTAGAGTAAAGTCCCATTGGTGCCATAGTCAGTGGTGAATAGACAGTAATAGGGGGAGTGAGGTGGTGCTGCTACAGTAAAGCCTGATCCCAGGTCTGTTTATAGCCAACTCCTATTGCATAACATAAAGCCATTTCCAATTGGCATAACACTAACCTCAGGAGTTGGCTATACAGCACAAACAGATCTGGGATCAGGCTAGTACTAGTGCTTTAGTCATGTATGTGGAGTAAGGTTCCATAGGTGCAGTCAATGGAGAATTGATAATAGTGGAGTTGTGGGAGGGAGGAGGGGGGGAGCTACGGGGAGTGGGGGGGGAGAGGTCATACAAGGAGAGGTGCTCCGGGACATGCTACGAACTTGTAGAGACTAAAGTACTACCTGCTATAAGAGAGCTGTGTCTCAGCCCACTTTTCCCTCCGCTGCAAGGCCGGACAATACACAGAGCACAAAGATACAATATCAATACCAGCGTTTATCTCAAAGAGAGCTGTGTCAGGGATAAAAGCACGCTTCATGTGCAGCCAACAGAATCTGGTGCCAAAAGTAGAAGAAACCTCAGCATTAAAGGAAAGGTTCACCCATTTTGAATGTTATATTGTTTTTATGCATCTCTGAGTGATCTTCTATCGATTCCCTGGGTCATTTCATGTTTTCATGTGTATCGGAGTTACTGGCGTTCAAGCAGGCAGACATCCGCCCGGTATGATGTAGCACTGTGATAAAGTCGCTCTCATTACACTGGAAGTTAATAGGAATGCGACTTTTAGATTGCGAAAAAATCTATCATACATGGCAGATTTCAATACCGGCGGATGTCATAACTTGGGAGGATGTCTTCTCTCGAATGGGCCATTATTCATATTTTTGCGATATTTCTACCTCGAGAAATGTGTAATTTAACAGAGGGTCTAGTACATTTTTCCTATTTGTCTGCCTCTTTAGCCCAGGGTGTATTGCATGGTGCCGTTGACAGAGATATTCGAGAAAGTTGCTGGGATGAAGGAACGTATAACGCCCCACCTAGCTGTCGACCATTCGCGATTTTCCATGTAGCTACTAACCTTATTATAATGCCAAAATGCAACATTAGTTCACAAAAAATATTGCTCTTAGTGTTATTTAACACTATGAATTAAAGGAATGGGTGGTTTTGGGTGGATTTTTCCTTTAAGTAGCGACAGTGCAGCATGTTTAGTAGGCGATATCCATTGTAAGAGCACTGGAACGATTGTGAGATTTCCAGAATCAAGAGATGTGGCAAGGCCAAAAGATGTTTGACTTTGATCATGCTCAGTGCCAGGCCAGAATCAGTCATTACAGACGGCTAGCCAAATGTACACTTTAGCTAAGCAATGTAAGTCTCAACATGGAATCAACATCGAAGTCCTACAGTGAAATTAATTGATGCAGGTTTGTGAATTGAGGTGAAGTCCGGGAAGGCAACAATATATTATAATAACACATTTTCCTTATTAACTCTTCCAAACTCAGCACCACTGTTGAAAACACTATACTGATTTAGAGTAAGATACTCAGTAAAGGAGACCAAAAACAGTCATTGAAAAACAAGATTAAAACCCTCCTTTCTTTCTCTTTTCCTTCAAATTCAGCCATCCCTCCTGCTCCGGTCCAAATGGCATTCTAAATATTTAATAGTGCACATGGAGGGGTTTTGGACACCTCAGCACTTAAAACCATGCGGGTCAAGGGGATATTTCTACGACCAAACATCAATTGAATACGTTATCATGGCTCCCCGCTGCACCGTAGAGCTCTATTAGATAAGGGAGTGCTTCACACAGCAGTCTCATCCATTGCAGTACTGGGATAGCGGTCAAAAGAATAGCCCTGCGACCGGGTGAAACATTGTACTATAACACTGTATGAACGTGAGAGTTACTTTACCTGCCTTAGGCCGTCTCTACTGTTCTGCATGATCCGCAGGGCGTAGTTGGACCGCTGGCCTTTGCTGTTGAATTCAATGTGGCCTGTTAGTCCTTCCAATTCTACCTATCCCAGAGAGAGAGAGAACAAGAGAGAAAAGCTCTCATGTTATTAAGGCGTTTCACTTGGTCTGCAACCGTTGTTTTTGGTGTCAATAATCTGGGTTCAAATAGTATTAGTTGGCTTTCAAATCATTCAGCTGCTCTGGATTGAGCTTGCCTTGCTTGACAGAACTAATGGAGGAGTTCCAAAAGGGTAAACTGCAAACCCTGCCGATCTGGAACTGCATGCAAGGCTCAATCCGATGCTCCCAAGTATTTGAAAGATAACAAATACTGTTTGAACCCAGGTATGTCAGTAATGTCACATGCATGGCTGGGTTCGGTAAGGCTTTAGTTCCTTATTGACTAACTGAAATCATTCAATGGATTTGAGTTTCGATTCAATTATCCAGATGGAAAGCAGGCTGACAATTATGCGGCGACAAAACCTCAACCCACCCCATCATCCGATACTGAGAAACCAGCAGTATGATCGATACGAGGGTGTCTCAAACAAAATGATTATGTGATGACAAAGTGATGGTGGTATAACATCTATATGTCAACACGACTAATTTTCACATGAAAAAAACCGGTCTGAAATCCAATACATGTCACACTCTAGTGTCTTGATATCTCACTCACAGGCCATTTGTTCCTAATAAGGGACTATGAGCATTACAGTATGACAGCCAGTCAACCAGTCTCTAATTCCATCCCTGCCCCCCTTCTCCCTGCTGTAGCCTACTAATAAAGAAATAGGGGCAGTGACCTAGCCTGATCCCAGAGCTGTTTGTACTGTCTTGATAACTCCTATGGTCTTAGGTGTATCAATGACAGCACATACAGATCTGGGACCAGGCTAGCAGTGACCCAAGTTAATGTGACAATATGATTGACTGTATGACCAGTGGTAAGAGAAGGGCTAGAGGATTTATATATAAATATAAATACATAAATGTAAATATATTCAGCTGGTAGATCAAACAGTAAGGTAAGGGTTAGGGGACAGGGATCTGCTGGCTGAATACGCACACCCAATGGCTTCTAGTATAACGTTAACTAACACACTTGGGAGCATACTGTATATCACAGTGTGCACTACAGTCTAATTTAGCTCTACAAAATATGAATCTAATCTTAATCTAATCTTAATCTTAAACACGACCAACAACAGCATGCCATTCCCCTCCTATCCAGAGTGGGGCGCCCTTACCATCCTCAGGTAGTTCATGAGGCTGGTGCCATGCTCCCAGATCTTGGAGGACTTGCAGGAGAGCTGCGTGGCGCCCACGTTCTGGCTACGGTTGAGCTCCTGGACCGCCGCAACCACCGCGTACACTGCGTCAAACAGCAGCGCTGACGAGAGCTGAGAGAGAGAGGGAGAGAGGGAGAGAGGGAGAGAGAGAGAGATGAAAAAAGAAAAAGAAAGAAAGAAAGAAAGAAAGAAAGAAAGAAAGAAGAAAGAAGAAAGAAAGAAAGAAAGAAAGAAAGAAAGAAAGAAAGAAAGAAAGAAAGAAAGAAAGAAAGAAAGAAAGGAGAAGGGAGGGAAGGAAGATATGCTGTCACAAACACACATCAATCTTTCATCCTCCCTGACGCCTGGGGCCCGCTCTGGTTGGTCAGTGATGGGTTAAAACAAGCGAGCCCCAGAATGCCATCCATGCAGCAGTCAGATATTCCATTAGATCGTTAGGATCCTCTGATGTGCTGACAGAAAAAAAAAGCCCCACCACTTTCACCCCTACTGGAGCTGGCAAGCCCTGGCCATTCCAATTACCACACATTCGTCAGAGTGGAGGCGGAAGTGCAGGAAAGGGCATTTGTCCTGTAGACTGTTTACATACAGGCCCCATACGTGTAAAGACAATTAAAATGCATGATGGCATAGATTATACACGGGAGAGAGGGAGTATTTCACTGTTTTATGTCTGTATAATAAAGCAATAAGGCCTTGATGGCCCTGATCTGTTGTGCATATTGATATGGGACTATGTAAACTCAGCAAAAAAAGAAACGTCCTCTCACTGTCAACTGTGTTTATTTTCAGCAAACTTAACAGGTGTAAATATTTGTATGAACATAACAAGATTCAACAACTGAGACATAAACTGAACAAGTTCCACAGACATGTGACTAACATAAATTGAATAATGTGTCCCTGAACAAAGGGGGGGTCAAAATCAAAAGTAACAGTCAGTATCTGGTGTGGCCACCAGCTGCATTAAGTACTGCAGTGGGCGGCCGGTAGTTTAGTGGTTAAGAGCATAGTGCCAGTAACCGAAAGGTCGCTGGTTCTAATCCCCGAGCCGACTAGGTGAAAAATCTGTTGATGTGCCCTTGAGCAAGGCACTTAACCCTAATTGCTCCTGTAAGTTGCTCTGGATAAGAGCGTCTGCTAAATAACTAAAATGTAAATGCAGTGCATCTCCTCCTCATGGACCAGATTTGCCTGTTCTTGCTGTGAGATGTTACCCCGCTCTTCCACCAAGGCACCTGCAAGTTCCCAGACATTTCTGGGGGGAATGGCCCTAGCTCTCACCCTCCGATCCAACAGGTCCCAGACGTGCTCAATGGGATTGAGATCCGGGCTCTTCGCTGGCCATGGCAGAACACTGAAATTCCTGTCTTGCAGGAAATCAGCCATACTACTCGTTCTGTGCGTGGTGGCATTGTCATGCTGGAGGGTCATGTCAGGATGAGCCTGCAGGAAGGGTACCACATGAGGGAGGAGGATGTCTTCCCTGTAACGCACAGCGTTGAGATTTCCTGCAATGACAACAAGCTCAGTCCGATGATGCTGTGACACACCGCCCCAGACAATGACGGACCCTCCACTTCCAAATCGATACTGCTCCAGAGTACAGGCCTCGGTGTAACGCTCATTCCTTCGACGATAAACGCGAATCCGACCATCACCCCTGGTGAGACAAAACCGCGACTCGTCAGTGAAGAGCACTTTTTGTCAGTCCTGTCTGGTCCAGTGACGGTGGGTTTGTGCCCATAGGTGACATTGTTGCCGGTGATGTCTCGTGAGGACCTGCCTTACAACAGGCCAAAAGCCCTCAGTCCAGCCTCTCTCAGCCTATTGCGGACAGTCTTACACTGATAGAGGGATTGTGCATTCCTGGTGTAACTCGGGCAGTTGTTGTTGCCATCCTGTACCTGTCCCGCAGGTGTGATCTTCGGATGTACCCATCCTGTGCAGGTGTTGTTACACGTGGTCTGCCACTGCGAGGACGATCAGCTGTCCGTCCTGTCTCCCTGTAGCGCTGTCTTAGGCGTCTCACAGTACGGACATTGCAATTTATTGCCCTGGCCACATCTGCAGTCCTCATGCCTCCTTTCAGCATGCCTAAGGCACGTTCACGCAGATGAGCAGGGACCCTGGGCATCTTTCTTTTGGTGTTTTTCAGAGTCAGTAGAAAGGCCTCTTTAGTGTCCTAAGTTTTCATAACTGTGACCTTAATTGCCTACCGTCTGTAAGCTTTTAGTGTCTTAACGACCGTTCCACAGGTGCATGTTCATTAATTGTTTATGGTTCATTGAACAAGCATGGGAAACATTGTTTAAACCCTTTACAATGAAGATCTGTGAAGTTATTTGGATTTTCACAAATTATCTTTGAAAGACAGGGTCCTGAAAAAGGGATGTTTCTTTTTTTGCTGAGTTTAGATGATTGTGATGCATAGTAAACAATGAGTGTGTATAGTGGTTCAGTGTCATTTGGATTCCAGGAGGGAAAGTTGATGACAGTAACTTCCTGATCATGTCACGATTATGCACCATGTGACCTTAAAGGGAGATGTCACTTCGAAATCAAAGTTGGTGAGATGTTTTCAGACTTCAAAAGTAGTCTAATGTCAAAATGTATCCACATCTCACGTCATCGGTTGTGTAGATCCATATTATGTATTAAGGCATATAGCTGGATCTACAAAACAAATGGCCTGGGATGTGGACCTATCTCAATAATTAAACAAATGTTGAGGTCTGAAAATATCTGACAAACGTTCATTTTGGAGTGAAATATCCTTTAACATTGAACAGCATGTCTACTTAGGTTGCAAGTCACTGTAATGTCCCCCCCCCCCCTCCCCTCTCTCCATTCCTCCTCACCTCGCTCTCTTCCGTCCCTCCACCAATCCTCAATACACTGTACAGCTAAGAGAGAGGGGTTTTTAAAAATGAAACCTGATATGAAAGAGCTCCCTGGAACACTGCAGATGAATGGCAGGGAGAGAAGGTGTAGCTCTCTCGCTCTCTCTCTCTCTCGTTTTATTAGGGACTCAGAGCTGTTATCCCTCTCCTGCTCTTAGTGCGCTATCTGTTAGACTACAAAACATCCTGTGATTAATTAAAGATAACTCCTAATTAAGAGGGGAAAAAAACAACTAGAGAAAAACTGCTGGTTTCTAAAAACAGCAGCCATTGATTTTTCAAAATCTTTCTTGAGGGCTTAATTAAGAAATAAAAATGCAATAAACCCAATTAATGAATTACTCATTGTTCTCTGTTTGATGTCAGAAAACAAATGAAACAAATGCTCTGGTACACTTCTTGTTTACACAAGTATGGTGAATTGGGTTAAAAATAGTTCAAATGCTGCATGGAAGAATGCTATGTTAATGTTATGTACTACACTACCAGTCACGTATTCATTTAATAAGCATGTGGCAATTAAACATTTTTGACTAATTAACGACTACACAGACAACTGTATTAAAGGCATAGAAAGACTTCAAGCCTTAACATTCTTAAAGATCTAATGGCTTGTAATGAGTCTCGCAGACACACGTGTGGGGATATATTGTATATATGGGAAAAGAGCTGGGGTGTATTGTAACTAATAGAAATGTAACTAATAGAGCTGAATTTCCAATTGTACATGCAAGAGTACGATTGGGAATCGTCAGGTCTATTTGTTACATTTCTGTCTGCAACATTACAGAACCTTCTGATAGAAATAAAGTATATTATGGAGATCAGAAATGATTGTCTAGCTGCTAGACAATCATCTCTGTTCTACATAAATCTGAACCCTGGTCTCACCGGTGTGCCGGCGAAGGGGGCGTGGTCACAGTTTTCCTGCCAGGAACGGTTGAGGCTGAGGAGGAAATCCTGGAAGAAGGGATGTGTTCGGTTGAAGACGGAAAAGCCCAGAATGTTCACCCGCTCACTGGGCACGTCGTCCAATCGCAGCAGAGAGAATTCCTGCAGAGGGAGGAGTCAGAGGGTCAAAGGTATGATGGTATTAGGTATGTACAGTGGGGAAAAAAAGTATTTAGTCAGCCACCAATTGTGCAAGTTCTCCCACTTAAAAAGATGAGAGAGCCCTGTAATTTTCATCATAGGTACAAGTCAACTAGGACAGACAAAATGAGGAAAAAAAATCCAGAAAATCACATTGTAGGATTTTTTATGAATTTATTTGCAAATTATGGTGAAAAATAAGTATTTGGTCAATAACAAAAGTTTCTCAATAGTTTGTTATATACCCTTTGTTGGCAATGACACAGGTCAAATGTTTTCTGTAAGTCTTCACAAGGTTGTCACACACTGTTTTGGCCCATTCCTCCATGCAGATCTCCTCTAGAGCAGTGCTGTTTTGGGGCTGTCGCTGGGCAACACAGACTTTCAACTCCCTCCAAATATTTTCTATGGGGTTGAGATCTGGAGACTGGCTAGGCCAATCCAGGACCTTGAAATGCTTCGTACGAAGCCACTCCTTCGTTGCCCGGGCGGTGTGTTTGGGATCATTGTCATGCTGAAAGACCCAGCCACGTTTCATCTTCAATGCCCTTGCTGACGGAAGGAGGTTTTCACTCAAAATCTCACGATACATGGCCCCATTCATTCTTTCCTTTACACGGATCAGTCGTCCTGGTCCCTTTGCAGAAAAACAGCCCCAAAGCATGATGTTTCCACCCCCATGCTTCACAGTAGGTATGGTGTTCTTTGGATGCAACTCAGCATTCTTTGTCCTCCAAACACGACGAGTTGAGTTTTTACCAAAAAGTTCTATTTTGGTTTCATATGACATTCTCCCAATCCTCTTCTGGATCATCCAAATGCACTCTAGCAAACTTCAGACGGGCCTGGACATGTACTGGCTTAAGCAGGGGGACACGTCTTGCACTGCAGGATTTGAGGCCCTGGCGGCGTAGTGTGTTACTGATGGTAGGCTTTGTTACCCAGCTCTCCCAGCTCTCTGCAGGTCATTCACTAGGTCCCCCCGTGTGGTTCTGGGATTTTTGCTCACCGTTCTTGTGATCATTTTGACCCCACGGGGTGAGATCTTGCGTGGAGCCCCAGATCGAGGGAGATTATCAGTGGTCTTGTATGTCTTCCATTTCCTAATAATTGCTCCCACAGTTGATTTCTTCAAACCAAGCTGCTTACCTATTGCAGATTCAGTCTTCCCAGCCTGGTGCAGGTCTACAATTTTGTTTCTGGTGTCCTTTGACAGCTCTTTGGTCTTCGCCATAGTGGAGTTTGGAGTGTGACTGTTTGAGGTTGTGAACAGGTGTCTTTTATACTGATAACAAGTTCAAACAGGTGCCATTAATACAGGTAACAAGTGGAGGACAGAGGAGCCTCTTAAAGAAGAAGTTACAGGTCTGTGAGAGCCAGAAATCTTGCTTGTTTGTAGGTGACCAAATACTTATTTTCCACCATAATTTGCAAATAAATTCATTAAAAATCCTACAATGTGATTTTCTGGATTTTTTTTTCTCATTTTGTCTGTCATAGTTGACGTGTACCTATGATGAAAATTACAGGCCTCTCTCATCTTTTTAAGTGGGAGAACTTGCACAATTGGTGGCTGACTAAATACTTTTTTTCCCCACTGTATATGACAAGGGGTTGGACATGTCTGACATAAATCACGTTTAATTGCCGCAATACGTGGATATATCTGATTGAATGGAATATTTAATCAATGTCAGGGAAAAGGGCGCATGCTAATCTAATACGTTTAGCCCCAATTTCATTGATTTACTTGAAGTTTCATTATGTTAAGTTTATTACTCCGGATGATTAAGATTCCTAATATGTACACAACCCACATAATTCCTTCAGAGAGTGTGTGTGGTGTGTGTATGTATGTGGTGTGTGTGCATGTGTTCCTTTAGTTTAGTGCATATTCAAACGTGCGTGGGCATTTGAGTACAGCCTGGAACAAGCCCTTGGAAATGTGTTTGGATGAAAAACAACTTTTACTTTGATGTCCCTAAGTTCAGTCTGGTGGCTCCCGAGCAGTGGGGAGGACGTCACCAGAAGGTTAATAGAGATATCAGCCCAGTCAGTGCCAGCTCTACAGTCTATAACGGTGACACCGCCTGTCACCTCGCTGGGCCCGGGGACAGATATGATACGTATAGAGGAAGAGGAGGAGGAGAAACGGGAGGAGGAGAGGAGGAGGAAGAGGAGAGGAGAGGAGAGGAGAGGAGAGGAGGAGAGGAGAGGAGAGAGCGGAGAGGAGGAGGAGAGGAGAGGAAGAGGAGAGAGAGGAGCGGAGCAGATGAGAGGAAAAGGAGAGGAGAGGGAGAGGAGGAGGGAGAGGAGGAAAAGGAAGAGGGAGGAGGAGGGGGAGGAAAAAGGAGAGGAGAGGAAAAGGAGAGGAAAAGAAGAAGAGGAGAGGGCGAGGAGAGGAGAGGAGGAGAGGAGAGGAGAGGAGAGGAGAGGAGAGGAGAGGAGAGGAGAGGAGAGGAGAGGAGAGGACGAGGAGGAAGTAGTGCCCAGGCTTCAGAACAGTTCAGACCAGAGGACAGACTACTCTACTGTGGAAGGCAGGAGAGAGGAGGGGGTTAGAGGGCAGGGGTGTGTGTGTCTGTGTCTGTGTCTGTGTGTGTGCGTGTGCAAGCATGCGTGTGCATGCGTGCGTGTGCGTGCGTGCGTGCGTGTGTGTCTGTGTGCGTGCGTGCACGCATGTGTCCAATCCTCAATAAGGGGTGTTGGGGCTGGTGAGTTGAGTGGGAAGAGAATCCCTCTGAGAACAATAACCTCACAAGACACCAGCAGTAGCCTTTCAAATCCCAGGGCTTAGATAAGGTAGTGTGTTAGCGAGTTCCTCTGCAGCACTAGATCAAAGCCCAACTAGACTCTGGTGCTCTTACAACAAACACTAGCACGGTAGGAGAAGGTGAGCAGGCCACGGCGGAATGAAGGATACATGTTGTGCTGGATTATGGTGAGAGAGAGATTTGAGGAAGGAAGGAGACTGCAAGAGAGACAGAGAGAAAGAGAGAAAAGTGTCATGGAGGTGAGAGAGGAAGAAGGAGAGGTGAAGAAAAATTGAGATAGAGAGAACAGAGAGTCATGGGAGTTAGGAGGAAGGCATGATGGGCACTACGGGAGTGATGGAGGGAGACTGTGACTGCTTCCCAAATGGCACCCTATTCCCTATGTATTGCACTACCTTTGACCAGGGCCGGTAAGGAATAGAGTGCCATTTGGAACACATCCAGTCTTTTCATCAGAGCCCCTGGGGGAGAACAGGACAGGAGAAAGCCCCTGGTGAACTCCTTTAGCATCACTAACTACAGACCGCAATGCAAACTGGCAGTCTTATGTCTTCCCATCTAGACCAACAACACCATCCCGTTTAGTGGTGACACATCTCTTTTTGATTTACTCTCTCCTAGCCATGTTGTCTCTGTATCTTATTTAAATGAGTGCCTTTCTGTCCATGCCAGGTGATGAAAAGCAATCTGAAAACAAAATGAAGTTTAAGGCGACTCGCTGCACCCCAATTGAAGCTGACGCTACTAGCTTCCGATGTTTTGATGTTTTCGAGGCAAACTCTTGGCAGATTGTTTTTGCACTTTCTGCCAAGTGCATTCAGGACATTGAGAACTTGAGATAAATAGATATTGAGGAGTGAAACACACAGCATTTGATGAAAGGAAGGCTGAGTTGAACATGAAACAGTGTTTTCTCTGTGCCTAATTCTTTATGAATGAGTATTAAAATAAACATGCCCGAAAGATTCATTTATTCATTCATTAATTCATGAGAACATTTAATCCAACATGGATAGTGGTGTTGTTCACAGCTCTCAGTACAATTGGAACTACCCACCACATCTTAAAACATTTAATTACCTTCAATATTTAAAATCAAAATATTTAATTATGAAAATAGCATAATATATGGGCGCAGACCCTTCTTATACAAAAAAATGACTTGAGTGGATACATTTTACACACACACACACACACAAATTCACTTCGCTTTACTTTAACCCTTTACACTTGTGGAATTGGCCTATATGGATACAGCTAAATTGAAATGTTTCTTACAGAGGAAATATGGAAAGCATATGCATAACCATAGTAAAAGTTAAAAGGGAACAGTTTGGAGATTATGGGAAAATTATTAGACTAAAGGTGAGGACAACAGTTCACCTGACACAACATTACACTGTTGATTTTATGTGCATATTAGTCTCCAAATCTGCCATTTTTAACCCGTATAAAGGTAGAAGTGTAAAGGGCTACGACATTGGAACATTTGAGCTAAAGTCTCCACCACACCTTTATTGACTACAATCTGCGCACTGGTGACAGTTTCATTGTTTTCCCATCACCTGTCCACAGTGTACCCTGACAAGCCCAATGGGAGTGGCCCCATAATTATTTTTCAAGTGCACTTTAATAGATCATTAGGAGAGGAGCCTGTGCAAATGAGCTGGTCATTAAGTATGCCCCTACTGGGTGCAGTCAAACACATGAAATACAATGTCACCAAATATCCACCGGTGGCGTCTGGAGAAACCTAGCAAGCACGAGCGGTGTACAGTGCCGTGAAAAAGTATTTGCCCCCTTTCTGATTTTCTCAATTTTTGCATATTTTTGATACTGAATGTTATCAGATCTTCAACCAAAACCTAATATTAGATGAAGGGAACCTGAGTTTATAAATAAAAAAAGTGATACTTATTTTATTTATTTAATTAACAAAGTTATACAACACCCAATTCCCCTGTGTGAAAAAAGTAATTGCCCCCTTACATTCAATAACTTGTTGTGCCACCTTTAGCTGCAATGACTGCAACCAAATGCTTCCTGTAGTTGTTGGTGAATTCTGGCCCATTCTTGCATGCAGAACTGCTTTAAGTCAGCGACATTTGTGGGTTTTCAAGCATGAACTGCTCATTTCAAGTACTGCCACAACATCTCAATTGGAATTAGGTCTGGACTTTGACTAGGCCATTCCAAAACTTAAAATGTGTTGCGTTTTAATCATTTTCATGTAGGCTTGATTGTGTGTTGTGGCAGATACAGAGCAGAATTCAGGGTTCCTTCTATTAAGACAAGTCGTCCAGGTCCTGAGGCAGCAAAGCATCCCCAAACCATCACACTACAACCACCATGCTTGACCGTTGGTATGAGGTTCTTACTGTGGAATGCAGTGTTTGGTTTTCGCCAGACATAATGGGACCCATCTCGTCCAAAATGTTGACTCAAGTTTGCCAAAAAGCATCTGGAAGCACCTGGATGATCATCAAGACTCTTGGAAGAATGTTCTATGGACAAATGAGTCAAACGTTTCACTTTATGGATGGCATGGGTCCCATTATGCCTGTCGAAAACCAAACACTGCATTCCACTGTCACACTCTGATCTGTTTGACCTGTCTTTGTGATTGTCTCCACCCCCCTCCAGGTGTCGCCCATCTTCCCCATTATCCCCAGTGTATTTATACCTGTGTTCTCTGTTTCTCTGTTGCCAGTTTGTTTTGTTTCGTCAAGCCTACCAGCGGGTTCCCCCTTGCTCCTGTCTTCCTCAAGGCCTTGATTAATGATGTTCTCCGTGACATGTTGAACCGGTTCGTCTTCGTCTAACACGACGACATCCTCGTCTTCTCCCGCTCTGCCCAACAACATGTGCTCGAAGGCAGAGGAGATGAGTGGTAGCGGGTAGCGGTTCTTCACCATCCTTGGCGGTGCACATATCTCCACACCGTCAAGCGTCTCAATTCCAGGCAAGCTAGGTGGGCCCTGCTTTTCACCCGGTTCAACTTCTCCCTCTCATACCGACCGGCATCAGAGAATGTCAAGCCAGATGCGCTGTAACGCCGCTATTGCCCCGTGGCTACATCCCCGGAATCCGAGACCATCCTTCCCACCTCGTGCTTAGCGACGGGGGGGGGGGGGGGCAGATAACCGGATGTTTGTTCCTGACGCTGTCCACCCCTTGGTTCTGGAGTGGGCCCACTCCTCCAGGCTTGCCTGCCACCCGGGCTCCCGTCAGACCCTGGCCTTTGTGTGACAACGCTTTTGGTGGCCTACAATGGTTCCAATTCGTCTCCGCATTCGTCGCCTGCACGATCTGTGCGCAGAACAAGACTCCTAGGCAATCTCCGGCTGGTCTCCTCCAACCTCTGCCTGTTCCTCACCGTCCCTGGTCTCACATATCCCTGTACTTTGTCACGGGTCTTCCCCCGTCTGATGGCAACACCGCCATCCTGACTGTTGTGGACCGGTTTTCCAAAGCCGCCCACATCATTCCTCTCCCCAAGCTACACTCCACCAAAGAGACGGGCCAGCTCATGGTGCAGCACGTCTTCCGGATCCATGGACTCCCAGTGGACATGGTCTCCGACCGGGGTCTTCAGTTCTCGTCCCAGTTCAGGAACGCGTTCTGCACACTCATTGGGTCGTCGGCCAGCCTGTCCTCTGGTTTCCACCCTCAGTCCAACGGCCAGTCGGAGCGAGCCAACCAAGACCTGGAGATGACTCTGCGCTGCCTGGTCTGCGCCAACCCTACCACCTTGAGCCAGCAACTAGTGTTGGTCGAATACGCCCGCAACACTCTTCCCTGCTCTACCATGGGTCTTTCGCCTTTTGAGTGTTCCCTGGGTTATCAGCCCCCACTCTTCCCGGAGCAAGAGGAAGAGGTCGGCATACCCTCGGCCCAGATGTTTGTCCGCCGCTGTTGTCATACCTGGAGGAGAGCCCAGTCGGCTCTTCTCAAAACCACCTCCAGGTATCGACAACAATCTGACCCCAGCTCCCCGGTATTGTCTCGGGCAGAAGGTATGGCTGTCCACCCTAGATCTGCCCCTCCGGGATCTGCCCCATCTCCAAGATCATTAGCCACTCTGCTGTTCGTCTTCTGTTGCCACGTACCCAACGTAGACATCCCACTTTTCATGTGTCTAGGATCAAACCCGTGTCTCACAGCCCTTTGTCTCCTGTTTCCAGGCCCACCCCTCTCCCTCGTCTCATCGACGGCCAACCGGCGTACATGGTGAGTCATCTCCTGAAGGTTCGACCTTGGGCAGGGGATTCCAGTACCTGCTTGACTGGGAGGGTTATGGCCCGGAGGAGAGGTGCTGGGTCCCCGCTAGGGACATCCTGGACACAGGCCTCATCGCTGAGTTTCAACGCCGGCACCCCGGTCAACCAGGTATGCGCCCAGGTAGGACGCCAGGTGGCGCCCCTAGAGGGGGGTGGGGTACTGTCACACCCTGATCTGTTTCACCTGTCTTTGTGATTGTCTCCACCCCCCTCCAGGTGTCGCCCATCTTCCCCTTATCCCCAGTGTATTTATACCTGTGTTCTCTGTTTTTCTGTTGCCAGTTCATTTTGTTTCGTCAAGCCTACCAGCGTTTTCCCCCTTGCTCCTGTCTTTCTCAAGTTCCTGTTTTCCCTGTTTTGACCATTCTACTTGCCCTAACCCTGAGCCTGCCTGCCGTTCTGTACCTTGTCACACCACCCTGGATTATTGACCTCTGCCTGCCCTTGACCTGTCATTTGCCTGCCCCCTGTTTTTGTAATAAACTTGTGTTACTTCGACACTGTCTGCATCTGGGTCTTCTCCTGAAATGTGTTACCCACACTAAGAACCTTATACCAATGGTCAAGCATGGTGGTGGAAGTGTGATGGTTTGGGGATGCCACGGCCACGTGACTCACTGTCTGTGGGAGCGATCCATTTAAAAACCTAATAAAACCTAAAGTGTCTTCAGAAAGTATTCACACCTATTGACTTTTTCCACATTTTGTTGTATTACAGCCTGAATTTAAAATAGATTAAATTGAGATTTTGTGTGACTGGCCTACACACAATAGCCCATTTTACAAATTAATAAAAAATGTAAAGCTAAAATGTCTTTAGTCAATAATTATTTAACATGATTTTTGAATGACTACCTCGTGTTTGTACCCCATACATACAATTTTCTGTAAGGTCCCTCAGTCAAACAGTGAACTCAGATACAACCACAAAGACCAGGGAGGTTTACCAAAAAAAGCAGACATTGAATATCTCGAATGTCCCGCATGGTGAAGTTATTAATTACACTTTGGATGGTGTATCAATACACCCAATCACTACAAAGATACAGGCATCCTTCCTAACTCAGTTGCCGGAGAGGAAGGAAACCGCTCAGGAATTTCACCATGGGGCCAATGGGGACTTTAAAACAGTTACAGTTTAATGGCTGTGGACGGATCAACAACATTGTAGATACTACACAATACTAACCTAAATGAAAGGAGCATCCAAGCATACTCCAAGATAGAATTAGCTTGTACAGTATGAAAAATGTATGCACTCACTAACTGTAAGTCGCTCTGGATAAGAGCGTCTGCTAAATGACTAAAATGTAAAATGTGAATGTAAAATGTAAAAATATTCCAAAACATGCACCCTGTTTGCAATAAGGCACTAAAATATAACATAAAAAAAGTAACTTTATGTCCTGAATACAAAGTGTTATGTTTGGGGAAAATCCAGCACAACACATCACTGAGTACCACTCTTCATATTTTCAAGCATAGTGCTGGCTGCATCATGTTATGGGTATGCTTGTCATCAAACTAGGGAGTTTTTTTTTCGAGATGAAAATAAACAGAATAGAACTAAGCACAGGCAAAGTCCTAGAGGAAAACCTGGTTCAATCTGCTTTCCAACAGACACTGGGAGAAAAATTCACCTTTCAGCAGGACAATAACCTAAAACACAAGGCCAAATATACACTGGAGTAGCTTACCAAGATGACATTGAATGTCCTAGTTACACTTCTGACTTAAATCGGCTTGAAAATATATGGCAAGACTTGAAAATGGCTGTCTAGCAATGATCAACAACCAACTTGACAGAGCTTGAAGAATTTTTAAAAAATGAATTGAATCCATTTTGATTTCAGGCTGTGACACAACAAAATGTGGAATAAGTCAAGGGGTATGAATACTTTCTGAAGGCACTGTACGCACGTGTACATGCATGCACGCACACACAACCCCCCACCCAACCACCCTTCCTTACCTGACCCACAACCCCCTCCGACCCCCTCACACACATTCCTACACACATCCCTGCTTGCATAAAGAGGAGCATAAAGACAGAGAGTAAGTGTGAGAGGGGGGCCAGGCAGGCTGGCCCCGGTGGCCTCCAGCTGCCCCAGCGACGGGCCCTGGCAGCCAGTGAGGGGTGCTGGGTGAGGTGATGACAGGCTGGCGATGGGCCCTCTGACACAGCCTGTCACCTGGCGATCAATCAGAAACAAGGAGCTGGGCCAACCCGCAGTTCCCCTGCTGGCACCTCCTGGACCCTCTTAAAAACACAGGCAGACTAACAGACACACACATGCGCGCCGCAGACAGACAGGCACATGCCCACACACAAAAAACTCTCCCACATTCTGTTTGTTGTGGTGTATCCAAGCTGAGAGCTGAATAATGAGCTCCCCAGAGATCAGGTCGTTACCTTACTGTTGTGCACTTTCAGGGACCACACACACACGCATGCACGCACTCTCACACAGCTGCTTAGGGCCCACCAACAGGGGCCACACAGCTAGACTCCTTCTCCTGCTATCTATCAAAAACGATTTGTTTTGTAATGCTGAGCATACTTGCTAACAAACACATTATTTAGCAAATACATAGAATCTAACACAATTTGAATGCCTGTCAGGTAATCTTACATTACTAAGGACCCTTTGTGTAACATACTTGTTAAGCTATGTTTGCTAATAAGCAAACACACAAAATCTAACCTTATTTTGAAGGGTATTCTCTACAGCCAAGGATGACCCTCTGAGTATGTATGTGATGTCGAAACCCTATGGAAACTCAGACTGTCCCTGTTTCCATCGATCTAGTTTTCTCAAATAGGATGGAAGTGCCAAGATTATAGTGAGCTTGCATACTCTCTAAGCTCCAGGAGCATCCAAGCATACTCCAAGATAGAATTAAGACTCCATTTCAGCATGCACATAGGATTGTGTTCTACAAACTGTACATCTTGAGAGGCTAATTGTATAACAGCAGAAATGTCAAGAAGCTAACATAAAAAAGCATGTTAGCATTAGGAAGCCGTATAGCTCAATGTCAAGAAGCTAACATAAAAAAGCATGTTAGCATTAGGAAGCCGTATAGCTCAATGTAAAGAAGCTAACATAAAAAAGCATGTTAGCATTAGGAAGCCGTATAGCTCAATGTCAAGAAGCTAACATAAAAAAGCATGGTAGCATTAGGAAGCCGTATAGCTCAATGTCAAGAAGCTAACATAAAAAAGCATGTTAGCATTAGGAAGCCGTATAGCTCAATGTAAAGAAGCTAACGCAGCGTAACAAGCTAGCACAAAAGAACGAGAAAACCAGCATGTTAACATTAGAAAGAAAAGCATGTTAACATTAGCAAGCTGTGCAGCTGCGAATGCCTACCATGATCAAAGGTGGACATGCATTGTTTGCAAGGCTGCTTTAATAAACGTCAGAGACATTTGACTAAAGAGGAATTTACTCTAAGCGTTTAAATACGCATCTGTTACAGGTACACAATAACTGACTGACACCAATATTACCTCATCATCTTTTACTTTCAGAGACATGAGGTGTTATCACCCATTCCGTGAGTTACGTTCAATGTGAAAGAAAGGTCACAGCTTATGTTAATTTTGAGAAATGTCTCTGAATGTTCGTGTTAAGTGTAATATTAAGTGGAGGAGAGCAGTGAAATAGTATTTTGTAGTAGCCTACTGAACAAGGGAGTTATAACAGGGTTATGTTTGTAGAGTAGCTATTGTCCTTGAGTGCCAAAACACTTGAAAAAGCCTTATTGGTGTTGTAGCTGTATGTTATGCGAGTTCAAGGCCCCATACACAAGAGAGAGCACTGAGGCATTCCATCAGGGATTTGTGAATCTGTACATACAGTACAACAGAAAGGCACTGCATGGGGAGAAAGATAAGTGGGCTTCAACCACTTTAAACTGCAAACGTTGCTGGTGATCGAAGCTACTGGAGGAAGTTTATGGTCAACAGATCTGGAGCTTGAGGATTGTGATGATGATGATGATGATGGTCCCTCATGGAACATCCTCCAGGTTTTTGGATGAGAAGAATGTCTGATGAGCAAAATGGGAAAGAGAAATCCATCCTGTGCCTAACCAATCCAAAGACACCACTGGAACGCAGTACCAAGGGCTCTAGTGCCTACTGATTGAGTATCATATCTTAAATTGGCATATTTATTTTCCCAATGATACAATATCAATTAATTATATCATTTTGTATGGTGGAAGAAGACAGTAATGCCTTCTCAGCCCAGACAGCTCTGTCTGTGTGCAATAATGAAATCCAATTTTAGTGGCACAGTGATTACACTAATAGCTGGAATGTTCACGTAGTGTTTTGGGCAATAAGTAATTTCATGCTCATATCAATTGCCATGTAAATTCAGTCGGAGGCTCCAAAGCGTCCAACTGCCTCTTAATTACAAAGACTTGGGAGTAAGGAGCATCACTAAATGCCAGCACAGCTCTCACATTCATTATATATAGAGGTAATACTAAAATTGTATGAATTAATATTTCATTTCCTTTGTCTTAGTCAACAGTAAATATTGGTATCTATGGATAAGTCCCAAATGATACCCTATTTGGGACGTAACCTATGAGAGTAATACAGTATCATATTCCTATGGGTTCATAGGAGATGACGGCAATAATACATGAAATGCTTCTCTTATTGTACATCTCAGCGCAGCACAGTGGAAGCTGATGTATTACATTTATTTGAAATTGTTTAATAGGGGCATATATCAAAAACAAGTTGGCTTTTCTGTTGAGTGTTAAATATAAATGACCGCTTTCAGATCCATTATTCAGAGAATTATGGCCAAGCCTGCAACAATAATAGCCCATTTGTAAGGTGGAAGAGACATGATCTCCTGAATAATCTAGTAGTGGACAAGGCCGCAATCTCCATGAATTTCGCGGAGTACAGCATATGCTGAGAATATGAACTGCAATTTTCTACACTCTCTCCATTCTCTCTCCAATCCTGGTGGAACAAGACAAAAGAAACAGAAAACCCAAGCGAGAAATACTATAAAAAAGGAACTCTTCCACTCCAATTACAAATTAATGCTGCTCTCTGTATGAAGAGCTCCGAGGTAAGGAATCTTAAACACAGAGACAATTTGCAACGAGACAGAAAACAATGAAATATGGATGACAAATCTTGTACTTTTGCGGCAGTGGGTTCACGCCAAAGTTTGCCTGGGGTCGTCTCGGCTCGTGGTATGTGAGAGATGAGCCTCACAGTCTGAGAGTTTGACTCAGACGAAACAAGACAGCAGGGTTTATCTCACACAGCCGATGGAAATGAGAGGGGAGCTAAACTCTTATTTTGGTGAGCCCTGAGCGCTTGCTATCGATCTCTGGAGGCCAAGTGACTCGCCTGATACTCTGGACCGAGCCCCGCAGCACTTTCTCACCTACAGTATGGGCAAGACAGGCTGATGAATACTGAGGAGAGGTTATTTCACCCTGGCCAAGGAAATGGCTGCTGCCAGGTATTCAACAGTTTCAGATGAAACTGATCCGATACAACACAACTTTATTTGTCCATTTGATCAAATGGAAATTAATCTTCTGCTCTCACCCCCATCCCCCCTCAGACAACACAAACAAACACACCTTTTGATTTTAGATACAGTGCCTTGAAAAAGTATTCAGCCCCCTTGGCGTGTTTCCTATTTTGTTGCAATTTAAATGGATTTCATGTAATGGACGTAGACAAAATAGTCCAAATTGGTGAAGTGAAATGAAAAAAATAACTTGTTTCAAAAAATTCAAAAAAATGTATAACGGAAAAGTGGTGCGTGCATATGTATTCACCCCCTTTGCTATGAAGCCCTCATTTGCTATGAAGCCCCTAAATAAGATCTGGTGCAACCAATTACCTTCAGAAGTCACATAATTATTTAAATAAAGTCCACCTGTGTGCAATCTAAGTGTCACATGATCTGTCACATGATCTCAGTATATATACACCTGTTCTGAAAAGCCCCAGAGTCTGCAACCAGAGTCTGCAACACCACTAAGCAAGGGGCACCACCAAGCAAGCGGCACCATGAAGACCAAGGAGCTCTCCAAACAGGTCAGGGACAAAGTTGTGCTGACCTGTTTGGAGACAAAGAAGTACAGCTCAGGGTTGGGTTATAAAAAAATATCCGAAACTTTGAACATCCCATGGAGCACCATTAAATCCATTATAAAAAAATGGAAAGAATATGGCACCACAACAAACCTGCCAAGAGAGGGCTGCCCACCAAAACTCACGGACCAGGCAAGGAGGGCATTAATCAGAGAGGCAACAAAGAGACCAAAGATAACCCTTACGGAAGAGTGGCCAGAAAAAAGCCATTGCTTAAAGAAAAAAAAAATGCAAACACGTTTGGTGTTCGCCAAAAGGTATGTGGGAGACTCCCCAAACATATGGAAGAAGGTACTGTGGTCAGATGAGGCTAAAATTGAGTTTTTTGGCCATCAAGGAAAACGCTATGTCTGGTGCAAACCCAACACCTCTCATTACCCTGAGAACACCATGCTTCACTGTGGGGATGTTTTTCATCAGCAGGGACTGGGAAACTGGTCAGAATTGAAGGAATGATGGATGGCGCTAAATACAGGGAAATTCTTGAGGGAAACCTGTTTCAGTCTTCCAGAGATTGAGACTGGGACCTTCCAGCAGGACAATGACCCTAAGCATACTGCTAAAGCAACACTTGAGTGGTTTAAGGGGAAACATTTAAATGTCTTGGAATGGCCTAGTTAAAGCCCAGACCTCAATATGTGGTATGACTTAAAGATTGCTGTACACCAACGGAACCCATCCAACTTGAAGGAGCTGGAGCAGTTTTGACTTGAAGAATGGGCAAAAAGTATTTTGGAGAAATACCCCAAAAGACTTGCAGCTGTAATTGCTGCAAAAGGTGGCTCTACAAAGTATTGACTTTCAGGGGTTGAATAGTTATGCACACTCAAGTTTTCAGTTTTTTGGTCTTATTTGTTGTTTGTTTCACAAGAAAAAATATTTTGCAAGCCACTGTAGATCCAACACAGACACAGACCTAGACAAGGTCACACTGTCAGTACCTTCATCTCTATTATCAGTTAAAGACAATCATTTATCGACCATATTGTTCGCCTTGGCAGATGCGAGTGATAATTACAATACAGTAATAAATCAAAATGAGAGCTCCATTACGCCAATTAGTGTAAGCCAAGTAGCCAAGAGGTTGGAGATGCTAGCGTAAACATCGCTAATGGTGAAGGAGAGAGAACACAAAAGCATAGCTTGGCATAAGACAGACAATTTAATAGAGAGACTCCATTTCAAAGGGAGGAAGAATGGTCAAACAACAAACTCCCTGATTTTACAAAGTAAAAGAAAAGTAAGAATTAAAAGCTTACAGCTTTTCCACAGTTTTCAATACTGAATGTCACAATCATTCAGTTAATTACTAATTAACAAGCTCATTTGGATAAGTGAATACACACACACGCACACATTTACCCACCCACGCACACGCACATACACACACCATTTGGATAAGTGAATACACACGCATGCAGACACACGCTCGCATGCACACTCTCGGGGGACGGAGTGGTGTCACACTTTTCCCCCATCCCTAGCAAACACAGCTGATTAAACAAATTGCATTTTAAACTGAAGATCACGGTTAGTTGATTATTGGAGTCAGCTGGAGCAAAAGTGTGACACCAATCAGGCCCCAGGGACTGGAGTTGCCCATCCCTGCTCTAGGGCATTTACATGCCTTTTACTGTATATGGAGAATTACGGTCACAACAGAATATAACTGTATGTTAAGGGCGTAAAGTAAATGCCTCTGACAGCGGGAATGGGATGCTATAAGGGGAAAAGCAATTGTCAACACTGAGCCATGAAGACATTCATACAGGGAGAGAGAAAGAGAGCTGCAATGAGGGTGACACACAGTAATCAATAGGCTCTGTCAGTAATCCAGGCTCTGTCGTAGCCGGCTGCGACCGGGAGACCCATGGGGCGGCGCACAATTGGCCCAGTGTCGTCCAGGGTAGGGGAGGGAATGGCCGGCAGGGATGTAGCTCAGTTGGTAGAGCATGGTGTTTGCAACGCCAGGGTTGTGGGTTTGATTCCCACGGGGGGCCAGTATGAAAAATAAAAAAATAATGTATGCACTCACAAACTGTAAGTCGCTCTGGATAAGAGAGTCAGCTAAATGACTAAAATGTAAATGTAATAGTCTTGCTGACTTCAGACATAAACTAAACATTTTGAGGGGAAGCAGTAAAGTTATGTGCTAAATGGTTTGTCTCTATTTAAGAAAAACATTTGTATCTGTCTGCCACATCACCCCATAAATGCATTTTGCCCCCTGGCTGAAATTTGTCTGCACTGGCAACAATGCAGAGTAATCTTCCCCCTCGAGTACAAGGAAGCAACGCTTAAGTGAACACATCATGCCAGCATTAGCATTGGACAAAATAATGACATACTTTATATTCTATTGAGAGGCTCC